TCTTGTTTACATTTTAATGTAAGTTTTCAAAACTAAAATTTATGACTGAAAACGCAAAGTGTAGTGCAAAGCAAAAATCAGTGTTGATCAAATTTTAATTTATTATTATTAAATTTTCCTTTGCTCACAATCTCTGTAATATTCATAAATTTTTTCAATCTTATTCATATATTTATTTATTAAAATTCAAAAGTCAAAGGTCAAATTATTAATATAATTTAATAAAAATAGTGGAATTAGCTATTTTATAGAACCAATTCTTCTAAGCTGTGCGCACAGTTATTGCCGGCGTTGTGTGCTAGAGTATCAACAACCCGTTTGTCACAGTACGCCAACCACATCTCTACAGTCGCATGCACCTTCAACAGTACAATACTCTCATCTGCACACTATCACACCTTTGTCGCCTCCTTCAAGCAGTGGTTCGTACAAAACCATAATTATTAATAAATTATTAATCAATTGTTTGCTTCTGTATTAACTCTAGCATATTGAATTTATTAAATTAGTTATTACTGATTTTGCTGAAAGAAATATTATATGTAATTAGATTAGTAGTTTATAATTGACCGAATAAAAATATGTTTTTTAAAAGTATTTAATAATTAGGCTTTATCAATAGAATTAAGAAGAAGCACTAAAATGTATTTATTTGAAATAATTTAGTTAAAATATGAAATTACAACTAACAAATTATTTATGCAAATCATTCCTTCAGTACAGATTTAATAACGAAAGGATATTTGCAAATATTCATCTGTTATGACACATAAAAAGTTAAGCTTAAACTTTTAAATAGGGAAGTTAGTCAAAAAGTCTGCTCGAAAATAGCAAAATATTAAAATTATTATTAAATTAATAATTAAAAAATTATTGTGATCAGAATAAAATGATCGCTCAGCAAAGAAAACTTATGTAGAAAGCAAATTATTGAGCAAAGTTTAAGAGTAGTTTGAAAGTGAGCAAATTTTTGAATAAAATATTAATTAATTAAAGAAAAATCAAAAAGTTAAGATAATATTTGAGGTTGAAAGTATATAAAATCATATTTCATTTTGATCCGATAGCTATGACTTAATATTATGCTAAGTTTGATAATATAAATTTGACAAGATGATAGTTGATTACCTAACACAGCATGATGAAAATTATTTTAATCATAGTATAGTTATAACTAATCATGATATTGAAATTAAGACAGAATCTTTTACGTGATCTATACATATTTACTTAAGCCCAAGTTATGCTTTATATTAAAAAGCATCATTATATTTATGACCATGTCTGTCTCATGACAACTGGTACCAATATTTTTTTTCTCGAATCTAGCCAGTGCTTTATCAAGCAAACAAGATTAACTCCAAACTTTGACCCTTAAAATAGCAAAACTAGCAGGAGAATTGCCTTTACTCAGCTTGTACGCAAATTTCACGTAACCTAAAGGTCAGAATTGAAACATGTGAAGTTTCAGGTGCAAGTGATTCAATTTCATTATGTGTTTCTGAACAAGATATCGAGAGTGATAAATTATCAATTATCTCCGAAACTGATAGTGGAGTAGTTGTTTCTGGAAGATGTTAGTTTTCATTAATTATTTATGCTAATTTCAGCAACCATTCCATTGAATTATCATCAAAACAAAATTCAGAATTGACGAATTGTCAAAACTAATTAGAGAAGTGCCCGAAGTTGAACAGAAAATTGACAATCATTAAAGTTAATATTATTATAGACCAAAATTTATTGATATCAAAATTTACAGAATAATTTAGTCGATTATGTATTAATTAATTGAGCATTAAAATGTCTAGGTTCACGACCTCCGTCAATGATTGGTTCTGCAATTGGACATGCCCCTCCGTTTTCCGGTTATTTTGGTGTCCCTCGTCCGCCATCCATCTTGACCCCTTCTACCTCCGGATGTATTATTACCTGTAAAGCATGTCATAAGCCTACAATTTTTCCTGATAACCAAACTGCCGCATTAATGCCTGTCAATGATGCTCTTGTCAATGTTATCACAAGGTTTTTATTTCATCGAGAAAATCAATAATATATTTTTTACTATGTGAAAATAAGTATAATCCGGTTTAATTTGCATAATAATTTTTTTGTTGATTAATGTACGACTGAGAAATTACAGGTACCGTTCCGGTAACTTATCAGGTCGAGACAAAAATGCTGGTAGTGAACAGATTTTCAGTTGCCAGGTAATTCTATAGCTAAGCTCATTTTGTGATATTATACTATTCCATCAAAACTAATAATAAATTATTGAATATTACTATGAAAATACATAGCTATTAAAGTAAGCAATTGAGTACATCTTTAAGTCATTATTAAATTATTAACCAAATTTTTACTGATTTTTTGTTGCATAAATTAAAATAAAAAGTAGCGTTTTTGTTTGATAAAACCTTCATACAGAGATTTCTGATAAAAACTATTTAAAAATTTTTATACTTTTAAAAGGTTTCTCTTGCAATTTTTTTTTGCATAAACTTTGTTAAATTGATTAAGTAGAAGATATTTTCAAGCTGATCAGACATACTTTTGTACTGATACTGACCACATCAGGCTTAATTTTGTACTGATACTGACCACATCAGACTTAATTTTGTACTGATACTGACCAGATCAGGCATTTCCAAATCGATCACGTACTTTTTATCATCTTTAGTTCTAAAATAAAATATTTTGTAGCTATGCGATACAGAAGAACCTGAAATTGCTAATGTATTTTGTGAACAGTGTGAAATATTTTATTGTCAATCATGCCAGATTTCATTACATCCAGCTCGTGGACCTTTGGCCATGCATAAATTAGTGCCACCATCAGCGAGGTTTTCTTACTGATCAATTAACTGACCGGATCAATCAATTGATCAAATGACTGATTTTTTGACTTATTATGCACAAAAGTATCACTAGTATGAAGTATTTTTGTAAGCAAATATTGCTAAATTGAAAGTATTTTGTGAAGCATAAAAAATCAAACCTCTGCACTAATAAATAATTATTAACTTCATAATTTATCAGTCGAGCAAATAGATCGCAATACTATAAATAAGTTTGTCAACAGATTTTGATATTTTAACTTTCTATATTAATAAAGATTGCTATATTTTGTATATTTATTTAATTTATTCTAAATACAGTTCCGTCATGTAATCAATAATTTAGAAGACCTTCGAGAACGACACTTGGTCTCATTCAGAATTCCAAATGTAGCAGTCATCCATGTGAAAATCTTTCAATGTACTGTATGATTTGTCGAGCAGCTGTTTGTTGTCAATGTCTGCAAGAATCAAAACATTCCAATCATGATGTACAAAATCTTGATAAAATATGTAAAACTCAAAAGGTATGCTGATAAAATGCATTGACTTATCATCATTTATAACATTTTTTGTAGACTATTTATATATCTGACCTTTAATACTGATAAAAATTTGTAAATATATACTTGTATTCGTAATTGATAAGCTAACATGCGATCTCCTGACAAATATTTTAAGTATATTTTATGCTATAAACTCTTTATAATAAAATATTAATTCATTTCATAAATGGGTTTATTGGTCTTCAATGCAATATTTTACGACATATATTTAAAACACATTAATTATCTTACTGTCATATTTAATATATAATTCTGAATGAAGACGAAAGTAAAATTTTCATTCCTATTTATAAAATAA